CACATTTTCAGTTTTGCTTGCCTCGTGGCAGCGCATTCCTTTCTTCACTTCAGCCATGGCTGCCGATTCTGCTGTGCAGTTGCTGACAGTAATCTGTCTCGAGCTAACCAAGGAGGATAAGGAGACGTTCAAAATCAAATCTGGAAAGCGTCTTGTGGTTCTCTGAAGACGTTTCATCAGTGCGCGGGATGAAAGCAGAAATTGCAGAACGAGAAAAGTTCAGCACAGTTCAAATTTGACGAGTCAGGTACACTGACGCTCTCTTTCGTTCGACGCCACAAGGATCCCCTGATTGGCTGGCCATTGCTACCAGTAAGACGTTTGAACGGTTTCATCAGAGCGAGGGATGAAAGCAGAAAGCGGAGAAAGAGAAAAGTTCAGCACAGTTGCAATCTGACGAGTCAGATACACTGACACTCTCTTTCGTTCGACGCCACAAGGATACCCCTGTTTGACTGGACAAGAGCTGCCTGTACCACCGTGTCAAAAGGCTGTCCAACTACATGGCAGGACGATGACTGAGGTAAGGAAGCTTTTACTCGTTTCGATTGGTCTGCTGTTCTGTTGTTATGCTTGAATTTTTTTTCCATTTTCAAGGATCGTATCGCGTTTGTTTGATGTTGCTTGAATGAATGCCCTAAAAGTAATCAACCACTTCGTAATAGTCCTCAAGGACTGCAAGGACTTTGCATCAATCGTATATGATCGTCTAGCTATCATCAATTATTATTTATTTCATGAGAAATGTATTCAAGTTTATCCCTGTGATAATTATGTGAACTCCACGACACTCTTCCTGTAGTATGATGTCAAATACAATGGGATCCACAAACGCAGTGCCAGTGTACTAGTAGTAGTAGTAGGACTAGGAGGATTGCTTGTATGCCAATGACAAAAAAAGCTTCTCAAGCTAATACTCGTATTCCCTGAAGTAACCGTTTTGATGTCACCAACATGACATTGTGTCAGTGAAACTGCCTCGTGACAACAAATCATTGCATTTCCATCTTGGGGAAGACTGACTGACAGCAACGCTGTACATATTGTTCAAATCATCTCATTTCAATTTAGTTGCAGTAAAGTGAAACACTGTGTACACTACATGTATGTTGGTGTGTCTGTGCGTCTTGAGTGTGCACAAACGATCTTATTCCTCGTATTAGGCCGTCATTTTTTATATCTATGTTTCGCGTCAGTTCAACTTCCAGAATCATATGCGAGAGGTGGAAAAAAATAAAAAATGTGCAAAATAATAAAAAAGGCTCATCAGAGGTGTATAACTGTACATAGCACAATAGCTCGTGCATGGTGTACATTCGAAAGAAAAATCGTACATCGAAGCACAAAATCTGCATCACTTTGGACAGAGGAGGCAACCGTTGGTGCCCTTGCTTCGCTGGATTATTGTACTCAGCCTTCAGCAGCGGTGCAAAGAGCTCCGGAACGACGCATCCTCTCAGCTTGAGGCGATCGATGCGGTCTGTTGTAAGCTCATAGAATACTGCTCGCAGATGCCGAACAAACGATTTACCAACGCTGGCCTCGAGGCCATTTCTGAATCCCAGCTTCGCTAGTATGCAACCAGTCCACACTGATGACTCGCACGATCGTACACTAACTGTGCATGGTTGATTTTTTTATTTTTTTCCGAAAAAAATCAAAACGTATGCGGGCGGACGACGCGAAACATAGATATAAAGAATGATGGCCTTACTAATAGATTATTGTCCCCACCATCACCTGTTCACAGGTCTTTGAGTGGATTGATTTTCATTGAGCATCACATTCGTTGAGAACTTGGTAGTTGTGTGCTCCCATGCATCATTACGGTAATAAGCGTATCCAATTGTGCTATCTATTTGTTGCAGGTGTGCTGATCTTCAGAAGCTTGCGGAACTGATTGCTGCTGAACATTTGCATGGCCATGAGCAATGGTGAAGCTTGCTAGTGCACTCTCAGCATGTGCTAGTATTATGCTGACCACTGCACTATGTTACTCTCTTACACTACTACGTGTATGTAAACGTGCGTGTACCCGTCCCTGTACGCATTCGTTTCGTATAATTATTTGTTATCCCTCTTGACTTTACATGTAAATGGGTGGACGTTTGCATGGCTGTTGGAGTTGCGTGTGTATTGTGTCTCTACTCTTTTCTTGGTGTTTTCTTGGCGTTGTATAAGTTTGTGTGTGTGTGTGTTTGTGTGTGTGTGTGTGTGTGTGTGTGTGTGTGTGTGTGCGCGCACGCACAATAATTTGAAAACAAATAATTAATCCTGGGCTCTCCATTATTCTCTTTCGATTCTTGGTTTTTTTCTAGTTATTTTCTTGGCGTTGTGTGGGTGTGTGCGTGCACAATAATTTGGCAACACTAAATGATTGAGATGTTGTAATTTGCAGCGTCTGCGAAGAGACCACTTGATTTGAGGATGGTGTTTGTAGGGTTTTTCATGTAATGAGGTGGCTGCAGTGGCGCCTCAATACATATTTTTTTATCTTGAGAAGTGAATGATGTAAAGGATTAAAGGGAGAGGCCGTTTTCTGGTTAATATTCACTGCTTACAGCAGATCCTATGTCTAATTTCGAACTCTGGATAGGGGATGCCTAATTGGCTGGACTTTATACAGGGGTGTTGTCCACATAAAGAATCCTTATAGTTGATTTCAAAGTTTGGACTCCGTACAGTTGATTTTGGACCAATGGACTCTATATAGGGGTGAAGCCAATTGGCTGGACTCTATACAGGGAGTGATGTCCATCGAAACTTTGAGCTCACAGTTGATTCCAAGTTTGGACTCTGTACAGTGGATTTTGGACCAATGGACTCTATATAGGGGTTGGACATCATATAGGGGCTGGACGCTCTACTGAGTCCAACATATACCATGTACCGGTATACAGAAATCGAATCCGAAAACATGATTGTAGTCGTAGTTGTCAGTGCACATGCACAAGGCACAGTCGAACCGGACTTCACGCTTTCCTCTCTCTCGAACTGTGAAACGTTTTGTCAAGTAAGCTTTTTGTTTCATTTCAAGATCCTGGAATCATGGTTTTTTTCACCACCTACTGTAGGCTCCGGCGGATTATGCTCGCGAAATCAAGGAATTATGCTTTCATGGATTGTCGCATTATGCTCGTAAAATCCTCATATTAGAGAGGTTAAGTTACACGTTTTTTGCACTTTTTCAAAACGCGATGCAAATCTCACGTTACGTGTAATTTTTAGATGTTAAGTTACACGTGCGACGTGACGTGAAATTTTGACTGGTAGGATTCGGGTTTAGTTCGCACAAATATCAAATCTTCCAACAAACTTGATAAATCTCGATAAAATTCCGGAAACTCACACAAATTCGGTGGGGATAACCAAGCGAAACTTCCAAAAACTCTCGTCATGAACTTACGTGGTGGACAGTCAACTCACGTAAAACACGTCAAATTTTACGCGTGTTTTTTCACTTTTTGACGTAAAAGTTCACGGACGTAAGACTTTTACGTGAAACTTAACCTCTCTATTATGCTTTGGCACCCGGGATATATATTCACTTTGTTGTACTTATGGAGCATCAAAGTTCGGGAAATTGTGACTTTTTTCGTACTTGCAAGCTGCAAATGGCCATAAGTACAACAAAATACATGTCCATGAGTATCCCCATATCAAGGTGTCCATGCATGTATAAAGAGGTGAACATGGAAAAGAGAAAACAATAATTCTTCTATTCATTACTTGATTTCTTTTGTACTTCAGTAAAAATATTATTTCATTGCCAAATTACATTGTAGTTTGAGTTACCTTTGAAGATAATCATGTTCAACTGTCTTCGTAATAATCATACTCCTCCATCCGATGTCACCCTGGGCCTCCTCCTGCAAATACTCAGATCTCTCCCGTAGCTTCACTTCTCCTTCCATCATGACCGAGCATCAACTATACATCAATTTAGAGCAATATCCGTAGCCTGCAGTCATATCATGGCTGCTAAAATCCAGACTTGTCATGACTTCTTAACATGCATAATGTAGAAATGTAATGTACAATGTACATGTACATGTACATGTTGTACACGGAGTTTTGCGGACTACCCGCCACTATCTCGTCCGCCCCGGGATACCTGATAAAGGCTGATTCACTCGCATCTTCTGCTACATGTACTGTGTCAGCATGAGAAAGAACTTTGAAGAAGACGAGTTCGAGCATACAATAATGTATTGCCATGATTTCTACCCTGCCTTTCATTGAAAACACTATCTGCATGACCTCCGAACCCTTTGCCATGCAGACCACCAGCACTGATCAAGTGCATTGTACACAATTGTGTAGCCTACATACTAAAACTGTGGTATAATCGTGTAGTTATGCTCCTACCTCCGAGAGGATGCCAAATTATGCTCCAAATTTTCAACCACCAAATTATGCCAATAATTATGCCGGCATAATCCGCCGGTGCCTACCACCTAGTACCTACCAGCCGCGCGCGGTATATGCCTCCTGCTCCCAAAAGAGAAGCGAATCCAACAAATCGACTTGCTCTGCAACAAACGCAGCCATTGCACATCTCAAAATCCCAGTCCTCAACAACAAATTGTACTCAGGCTAGAAAATTGAACTCGATTCGAAAATACTGGACTGCGCTACATGCTGAACCTCTTTTTCATTCGAATTTTCGGTCTGATTTTCTCTTTGCCATTCGAATAATCAAATCGAAAATTCGATTTGCTGATGCTCCGTATTGAGTGCTTTTCGTGACGATTCTCGAATTTCATTCGAATATTCGATTTGCTGATGCTCCGTACTATGTCACCGGCGATGTGACCACTCTGACGAGTGACGAGACTGACGATCGACTCTAGCACATGAGTCACATGACACGATCACGATTCACGATCTCTCATCAGTCATGACTGAATCATTACATGCAGCGCATGATCATTGATCTTGTCAGCTCCATCTCTTTCAAAAAATTAATATTTTAAAAATAATTGAATTTTTAGAAACCCCGGCCCCCAAGCTTATCACTTCTTCGTCGATCGTGACGGCTGCATATTGTAAGTGACCAGAACTAACTTTGGCGAAATGTGTGTGTCCTCCATTTCTGCTTGATTTGATGCTTGCAGATTTAATTCTGAAAGGAACCCTTTTGAAATGGAGGCAGAGCCTCAGGAAGTACGTGTGCTTGGTGTTGACAGGGCCAAGTACTACCGCAGCCAGTACCCGTACTACAAACAACCCACTGAGATTGGACATTTCTCCCAGGATGATCAGCGCACAGTCTTTATGGATCGGAGAGAAGCTCGTCGCTGCAGGTTGCCCCAAGCCAATGAATGCCGTGAGGTCAACTGGGATTTGAACAACGGTTTTGAAGAGTTTCAATGGAGAGATGAGGAAAAGGTGGGAAAGGAAGGCATCAATCCGATCTTAGACTGGATCATGGCCGAGGGAAAGGTGCTGGACCGGTTTAAGAAAGATGACACACCACCGGCGAAAGCATCTGCACTCAACACGAACTTTGTCATGTTCCGCGGCATGATGACTCGTATCCTGACTGCTCCGTACGAGACGAAATTCTCGACGCCGTGGCGCCTCAGTGTGTGCCGCTTTCAGAACACGATTTACCTCTGTGATGATAAGGACTTTGGAACGGGCAGGATGCATGAGCGCACTGTTGACCATGAGAAAATGACTTACTGGGGCTACAGCTTCGAGTCGTTCCTAACCTCGCACATTGATCCTGAAGTAGAGAAGAAGAGCCGGCCGAATAACGCTGCGGGGTTCGCAACGGTGGTACGCGCACAGCTGGCTAGCTATACGCTCTTAATGGCGGCAGAGGTGGATGGCGAGCTGGAGGGTTCCCATGAGTCACCGCCGTCGAATTACGTGGAGCTTAAGACCAACCGGCGCTTTGCTGACGCACGGCAGGAGCAGTCGTTTCATCGTCACAAGCTTATGCGAACCTGGGCACAATGCTATAGTGTAGGCGTGCCGACCATCGTGTTTGGTTTACGGGATGATGACGGCATTGTCCGTAGCCTCCGGACCTACAAGACCATGGAGGTGCACGGAATCTGCGAGCGGTTCTGGAAAGCAAGTGTGTGCCTGAACTTTGCCTGTGATTTCTTCGCCTGGCTTGATAAACACATCGCGGAGGCTGATCCGCTCAAGGTCATGTATAAAGTGACTTTTGATGCGCCATTCTCGGGCATGACTCTTGAGAGAGTTGACATAACGGAAGATAAGCAGGCATTCCTCAGCAGAGCGTTTGTGGAGTCCATGGCCAAATAATTTTTTTAAACATTTCCTTATGCTTTAGCCAAGATGCATGTCACCTGGACTGATCCTGGCAAGAGAAAGGCAGAGAGTTGAGAGATCGCTCACACACACACACACACACCCACACACACACACACACACACACACACACACACACACACACACACACATGCAGGCATTCATTGGCCGCACGTTTGTGGAATCAGCGGTGAAATAAAAGATCCACTTCTACTTTGGTCAAGATGAAAACCAGCGGGACTAAGTCTTGCCACCCAAGGATATTGCTTACGTAGTGGAGTTGTCACAACTATTGAGTATTGTCCGTGACTTTGCTTGTTCAATTTTCATACGGTCCTCGTTCCCTTTTTTACCTAGTGTGGGCCACTACAAGGTCTGGTTTTCCTCAATGATTTTCTCTTTTAGACTAGGCCAAGGGTTCTGTTTAGGCTTTCCCAGTATTTTACTCATTTTAGGAGAGCGAATGAATCAATTCGACCGGTTGGAATGAGTAATTTCCACTTTTCCACTGACTGAGAGACTGTCCGACTCATTTCCATTGAATTTGACTAATTTGCCGTTTTGTTCGATATGTTTTAGTAGCTTATTAATTTTATGATCTGTTTTAGTATTAATTTTTCACTGTTTACAGTTACCAGACAAGAAAAGAAAACAACGGATAACATGACATGTTGTCAACTTTTGGTCCTGTCTTTTTAGTTGTAGACAAGAAAAATGTTCAATGGCACGGTTTTCACTGTCTTTAGCCTAGCTAGGATTGCAAATCTAATCTAGCGCATTTCAGCTGAACAGGGCTCCACAGGGCGGCCTGCAGAGACTCAGCGTCAAGCTGCAGTCTTTAGTATCTTGCTTGCCTCGGAGTTTGACTGTAAATAGGGTGCAGCTTGCGTGACTCAAGCAGACCCACAGCCACAGTTATACTTATATCCCTTGCTCTGCAGTCCTACAGCTGTGGCCAGAGAAATCCGCCCTCATGAATAAAGTAACGCCGCGTCAAGTCACAGTGCGCAGGGTGGTGTGTGCGGTGCATGCTAGGGTCGCGTAGCCCCGGGGGGCCCCCTCTCCGTGTAATTACTATCCATATAAAAATCGCTCTGTGAGCGGTTCTGAAAAACCTTTACTGGTACTGCCCCGTCGTAAAAGTAAGAAATTAGAACTGGCCCATTGTCCCCCCAAACGCGAACTGATCCACCTAAATCGCGAATGACGGGACCCGAACGCACCAGTAGCACGAGGTCGGGAGGGCACAGGATCACGGCATAGGGTAACACCAGTAGTAGTAGTAGAATTTATTATTTTGATAGGGAAGCTTACCGCTAGTACAGTACATGGCCTATGGTCCGGACCAACGTCCCCAACTGCATCCACAGGTAGGAACCTCGTGCTACTGGTGCGTTCGGGTCCCGTCATTCGCGATTTAGGTGGATCAGTTCGCGTTTGGGGGGACAATGGGCCAGTTCTAATTTCTTACTTTTACGACGGGGCAGTACCAGTAAAGGTTTTTCAGAACCGCTCACAGAGCGATTTTTATATGGATAATTTCAGCTCTTTTTCCGTTCCCTCCCCACCCCAACCCCGAAGGTAAACATGATGACCACGCGTGCGATGTACTGTACGTAGCCATGCGACTGCAATAACACACTGATACATACCAGCCCTCCCCGCCTCGCTACCCCGCACACAGATACACAAACATGTGTATGCACACGGCACACACACGTGGCCACGCACACATACGCACATGCACACGGCACAAACAGGAAATTCTTCATGTATAATGCCATGCAATGCAGTGGCCACCGTACTTGAGGAAGTCAGTTGTGAAACAAAAATAATTCAACTACAGCGTGTAGACAAGCTGACGGCCAAAGCACAACATAGCAAACATGACATTTGCCCAAGGATTGCAGTTTGCAGACCATGCCATGGAAGCAGCGAATACAGAATGTAATACAGTGGTCCCTCTATAATCCGGCACCATTTGTGCCACGAAAATCTGCTGGATTAGGGAGGGTGCTGGATTAACAAATCTGATTTACTGCTGCAATGTGCATGAAGAGGACATTTTGGCTACTGAAAATTGTGCTGGTTTATCGAGGGTGCTGGATTATAAAGTGCCGGATTAGAGAGGGACGACTGTATCATACAAAGTGACAAGCAAGGACGTGGCCATCATACACCAGAAACTTGCAGAAAGTCACATATCCAACAGATAGAGAAGTGAACAGCAATCTGATACAGCCCACACAGGACAAAGCGGACCTGATACTCGTCCCAGGATCGCAAGTGGCAAACCCTTTTCAATGCATAACATGCAGGTGTACGTTAGACGCATGAACATCTGACCGTGTCGCCAGCATACAATGTCATCACATGTTTACCCCACAAGTTACACACATGCACAGTAGAAGCACAATGAAAGCAATGGAAAAGTACGATGTGGTTGCTGAAGCATCTTCACACTTCAAATTCAGACTTCAATGTGGTCGTCACGGGATGATATACCTGCAAGATACAAGTGATGAAGAAAGAAAGCAGAAGGTCGTGAGGTAGGCTATGAGACACCACAAACGGTTCACCTACATGTCTGTTCAGGGCTAGTGGCAGTAGTGCACTCACACGGAGAATTGTCATAATCGAGCATTTCCCAAACTGAGAAGTGCAATGAAATCCACTTGCATGCACAGGAGCAATTTTGCAATATTATGATGCGCAATTCGACACGATCTGCGATGCTGCGTGCGATGTGCCCTGCTGTCATGATAGTGACAGTCACCGCGGTATGTTTTGTCAACGTCGCCCATGCACTCTTCTGTCAAGTCCCAAGTGCTCACATACTTGGCAATGTTTTGCAGTGATTAACTTTTATCCTAGTTATGTCACGGGTAACTTTAATGAAGTACCCGCAGGCCGTGTCGATCTGCACATCTTCCACTCTCTCATGTACTTGGCCTGCTTTGTCTGTGTATCCATTTCATGTGCGATCCACAAAATCGACTAGACAGTGGGTGCAATACGCTCTCTACCTGAAGACGTTCTTCTGGCGACATCTCGCCATGTACTTGGCCTAGCTTTGTCTGTGTATCCATTTCATGTTCGATCAACAAAATCTCAAAGCACTACAGAGACTAGACAGTGGGTGCAATACGCTCTCTATCTGAAGACGTGAACCATTACATTTTTTGGAAAAGTTATACGTACACCTGAAACGTAATGAAGTACAGGAATAGAGAGAGTGACTACAATACGCTCTCGACCTGACATAGTGATAACGTGAGTACAAGACACTCTCCACCTGATAACGTGTTAGAAGGTAACATGTCTACAGTCCCACCGTACCCTTCCGACACGACTGTGGACCATTAAATTTTTTTGAGAAGTTATACGGACACCTTAAACGTAATGAAGTACAGGAATAGAGAGAGTGACTACAATACGCTCTCCACCTGATAACGTGTTAGTAGAAGGTAACAGGTCTACAGTCCCACCGTACCCTTCATCATTCCTCATTCACCATCGCGCGATACCCTGGCACACACTGGCAACATATCAATGGGGTGCCTTACCGTCGTCTAGAGGAGACGTCTTCGCGGCAATATTTTCCCTCCTGCGCATTCAGTCGCCGACGCGACAGCGTTCACGGGGCCGTTCCAGTTGCGGAAGACATTCGATTCATCGGGCCAATTCAGAAACAGGGCCGTGGACACACAGGGGGCAGAGGAGAGACATTGTTAGTGGACAAGAAATATGCAGTGGCAAGTGGCGAGTGCCGCATGGGTGTCAAGTTGTCATGCACAATTCAGCTATTACTTACGGTCCAGCTAGTCCTGCCATTGCTCGCTCGTCCTGGTTCCTCCTCGTTCGTCTTCCTGCACGTCTGCACTTCTCCTTCCCCACCGGCACCGTTGGCTTTGCGGTACGGGAGTGCCGGAAGGAATTCCCACCATGTATCCATGTACATGAAGTCCCACCATGACTCTCCATGTACATGTCCACGGCCACGTCAGCAGTTTGTATAGTACCGGAAGGAGTTCCCACGATGTCTCCAAAGGCCTAGAGCGGACGTCTTTGCAGCAATTCTTTTCGCCCTGCGCATTCAGTTCGCCAACGATGTCTCCAAAGGCAAAGGCCTAGAGGCTACTTGTAGTAGAGGGGTCGTCTTTGCAGCAATTCTTTTCACCCTAGTACCCTGCACATTCACTCCGCCGACACGACAGCGTTTACGGGGCCGTTCCAGGTGCAAAAGGTCCACGTCAGCAGTTCTCAACTATTTCGCGTACGGGATAGTCGCCGCGACAGCGTTTAAGGGGTCGTTCCAGGTGCAAAAGGTATCCATCAATGGCACTTTGCAGTATGGGGTACGGAAAAGGGGCCTCCTCGTTCGACTTCGTCGACTTCTGCAGTTCTCCTTCCCGTCAGGGGTACCGAAAGGGGCCTCCTCGCAGTTGTCCTTGCCGTCAGGTTCACGTCATTCAGTTCTCAACTATTTCGCGTACGGGATAGTCGTCTTTGTCGTACGCGACATCGGCGTTTACCGAGTGGCATTGGCACAAAGCAGACCGTTGACGGGGTCACGTGTCAAAAAAGTATCAACAACGTGTCGACTACGTGTCGACCATGTGTATAGCGGTACACTCAGCGGTACACTAATTCTCGTGCCATTCTCGTGTCACAAAACTGGAACATCGAGTACCAGTATGGAAAGGCTTCAGACAGGAAGCCTTTCCAATTCATTTATTTATATGGGTCGCATTTCTCTGGCCAGGACTGGCAATGTACATGTAGTTTGAACTGTGAGTGTTACCATCAGACCCATTGCACTTTGAGGGGAAACAGAATAATAATGCATATACGAGCAGTATGTGATAGTAGTGCATGATTGACAAAAAGCAACAAGCGGTCATCCCAACTTTACAGAAACATGTAACTACATAGGATCTCATCCAATATCACCTAACCCGCATCTATAATAAGCGTTCTCGGAAACCAACTGAAATCGGCCCAGCAGGGTCAGATTCCCAACATATAAGTTACCAGCACTGTTGCAGTATCCAAGAGGAAAAAGTCAACTTTACCCAAGGCTACCGCATGGCAGTGGCCGGTTATCCAGTGCCAGCATTGACAAAGTTATCTCCAGGGAAGCAAATATCAACAAGGAAAGGTCTGGTGATAATCAGATATGCTCGCAAACGGTTGTTAGACCATGCTAGTGCACACTACGCACTGCAGTATATCACTGGCCAGTGAACTATTGTTGCCCATCGTCACATCCAACTCCCGAGCGTGCTGTCCAGTGTTGGGTAGTTAAAACAAATCAATGGCAGCGAACTTCAATGATCAGCTCTGTACCAACATTGCATGACATCACGAGTTGCACACCTGTGAATATTGCAAAGGCCAAAATTAAATGATGATAGGTTTTGACTGTCTGGCCCAGCATGAATGGCGAAATAAGATCTCATGCTAGCAAGAAAGGCTAGTACACAACACTTTGATAGCTGTCCAGCAAAAAAAGCGTGCCATCCAATTCTACCGCTTCCCCTATAGCTTTAAAAAGGAAAAGAAAAAAGAGCCGGAAAAAGAAAAATATAATCATAATTTATAAAACAACGGGTATGGCAGTGCACTGCAAAAGTGACACATGACGTCATGAGGTTGATTATCAGGGGGGGAAACACAGCACACAGCGATGTACAACAAAGAGAAAGCGACCAGCATCAAGCGGCACACAGCAAAGAGCATACTATGAGCAAAGGGCACACATCACGGCAAACTACAGCAGCGTATTTGTACAAGCATAGCCTAGCATTGGCTGGAGAGAAACCAGTACCAACAAGCCAAAAAAAAAAGAGAGAGACAGTGCGCCCCAGAGGGAGACAGAATTATATAAAATATACGTTCACGCCGCCGCCGCCACGAACATATAATTACATCTGTATAGAAGATACACATCAGGCACATCTCTAGAAGCAACAGATACCGGGCCAAAGAAGCATGCACAAGCAAACTCACATGAACAGACGCACGCATCCGCTACCTCGCGCGCAGAGGCCCTGGCACACACGCACAACTACCAGCCCACATTCACGAAGGGGAGAAGAAACACAGAACTCGGTTAGGGGATATGGACAGTGGGGCAACTACTGAATCTGCATCTCAACAAATCAAAACAACAGCTAGAGACAAACACATCAAACTCAGCTGTCCATATCTTCATCTTCATCATCATCTAAGTCACCAAGGTCTAAGTCGCCAATATCCTCGTCGCCAAAGAGATCTTCATCGACAACGACAGCATCTGCTGCTGCCGCCGCCGCCGCCGCTGCTGCTGCGGAGTCTCCATTGTCGAGAGGTTTGACAGGCGCCGGAGTATCTGCTACGGCACCAATGTTCGTCAGATCATACGATGGGCCCTCGCTAACTGCCGACGCGGCTCCTGCGGCTGCGCATGCACCGCTGGCCTCTTCGTCATTGTCGTCATCGTTTTCCCTCCGGCGAGTGTAGACTTCCTCAGCACCGTCGTCATCGCCACCTACAAGTTCCGGGTTGAACATGAACATTTCTCGACCGCTCACGCCAAGAGCTCTTCCAGCCTTGAAGTCGGACTTCTTCTTGGCAAGCTCCTTCGCCAGAGTGATCTTCTTCTCGGCGAGCTTGCGCTTCTTCCATTCCATGAAGGTATCCAGCGTGATCTTAGTCAAGTTGGAGCCCAGCTGCGACCGTTCCGTCTCTACGAGCTCCTCGATAGTGATCTGATCCTGCTTCGCTGCTTTCTTCTGGTCTTTCTTCAGCACAAAGCCAGGCGGCAGCGCGTGACGATAGTGGCATTTTTCTCCGCCACCCGGGCACGACCAGAACCAGCCGTAAAGGTTCTTGTCGATGGCGTCAAGGAAGTGCTTGCAGACAATGTCGGTGGGCTTCGGGCCGTCCTTGCCGTGCTTCTTACTGACCACCTCCTCTAGTTTCTCCTGGTCCCACTTGTCCATCGTGTCATTCTCCAGTTCACCACGCTCATCCACATACAGGCTGCGTTTCTCACCTCGGCGCTCCACAGACGGGTCGTGCGAGAACTTGCATTTGTCGCCCTTCTTGCACGTGCCCTGCTTGAAGAATGCACAAAGCACGGATTTAGGATCTGCACCAGCAGAAATCTTCTGCGACTGAACTGGCTTGAACAGTGAGGCCTCCTCAGCTTTCTTCTTTTCCAGCTCCTTCTTCTTTTCTCTCTTCTCGCGCTCATCCTGCTCCCTCTTCGCAGTTCCCTGATTTCCATACTTCACTTGCGAAGTTACATTCTTGATGAAGTCCTGTTGCTTTTTGCCTTTCTTGTTCTTGAGACCGAATGTCTTGTCCTCGACAACTTTCTCTTTCTTTTTCTCAACAGTTTTCTTGCTGGGGCCACCGGCCCCCTTCTTAGGAGGCATGCTGTTCCTCACCAAAGTAATACTATCCTGAACGAGTAATTGAAAGAATCACAGTGACGGAACGACTCCTCTCTGAACTCTCCCCAAAGACAGGCTCGTGAGCTGAAAAAGTATCTGAACTGAAATCAACAAACACTTGACAAAAACAAAACACACAGCTTTTTTTCTCATTCTCAAGGTAAAAAAAGATTCCTTTCGTCACGCAGAGAAATCTTACCTGCATGCATGCGCGTACCCGCGGGCCGCGGCCCGGTATGCCAGTGCTGCACTGCGTAGTGGCTAGTGCATGCAGTCTACTGTCTAGCGCACTTAGCGGAACTTTAGCACGCCATTTCGCTAGGATGTGTGCATGGGCATTGCCATGGGGATCCCCGCGTTTCTCCTTGAAAAATTGGCGCGCTATCCAGGAAAATATTTTCGTGTCAGAAAATGTATTTTCGCGAATAGAATAATAATAATAATTATTATTATTATTGTTTCTGGATTGACCCAGGCCAGCAAGCTCAGGGCTAGGAGGTATTTTACTACTCCTTGGTTTGAAGTAACAGTTCATGAACGTCTCATATCAGGTCTGTCGTCGTTTTATTTACTGATATGAGAGCACAGGCGACCCCACGCCGGTAGTCTTTTGAAATATTGCACTCTGAGTGCAGCATTGTGACGATTCTGCAGTGCAGGTGACACTTCAGCAACGCAGCGACATGTCTAGTATTTTCGCCAGTGGGTGCGATGAATTGAAGGTGTGGTCCTTGTCTAACATATCCAACAGTTTGTCGTCAGTGAAAACCAAACATCAAATTTCTGATTTGATCTGGCTGTCTGGAGGTGAGGCGTCATACGAATGTCTACAACATGCCAGCATGCACATGCACTTTTGAAGTAGACAAAGTGTCTAGGGTACTGCTGCACATGCTAGTAGTGCTATGGCAGAACCCACCATAGGCAAAATGTCCAGGGTAGACCTACATGCTGCACATAGTGCTGTATGCCCTAGCTAAGGCAGAGCCCACCGTAGACAAAGTGTCTGGGGTACATGCTGCACATAGTGCTCTATGCCCTAGCTAAGGCAAAGCCCACTGTAGACAAAGTGTCTAGGGTACATGCCGCACATAGTGCTGGGGCTGAACCCACTATAGACAAAGTGTCCAGGGTATATGCTGCACATAGTGCTCTATGCCCTAGCTAAGGCAGAGCCCACCGTAGACAAAGTGTCTAGGGTACATGCCGCACATAGTGCTGGGGCTGAACCCACTATAGACAAAGTGTCCAGGGTATATGCTGCACATAGTGCTCTATGCCCTAGCTAAGGCAGAGCCCACCATAGACAAAGTGTCTAGGGTACATGCCGCACATAGTGCTGGGGCTGAACCCACGATAGACAAAGTGTTCAGGGTATATGCTGCACATAGTCTGTCCCCGGGGAAAATTGCGATTCCGCGGCCGCGTTTTTTTCCGCGTTTTTTGCGATTTTTTAAAAGACCGCGTTTTCCGCAATTTTCCCGCGTTTTTTGAACTTTTTTGTTGCACCACACGCACACACAGTGCACTGTTCGGTCAGCAACGTCTCATCGTGGCGGCTTTTTACTCAATATGACCAGTGCTGACACCAGAGACTTGTAACTGATTGATTTCACTACATACTCACTGAAAATTGCCGCACATCAATATTATTCACCGCATATTTACCGCATATTTACCGCAAATTCACCGCAAATTATGCCATATTATGCCGCGTTTTCCCCCGCGTTTTTTGCGATTTTTTTCCGCAATTTTCCCCGGGGACAGCATAGTGCTCTAATAAAGCCTCTATGTCCTAGCTAAAGCAGAGCCCACCGTAAACAAAGTGTCCAGGGGCGGCTCCAGGAGGGGTTCCAGGGGTTCTCCGGAACCCCCTAAATTGCGTAAATGTACTAATGGCAACCATATGCATGTCCATTGTATGTGTATGAGCTATTCAGTTTTGACTATACTGGAAACCCCCCCTGTAGAGATCGCTGGATCCGCCGCTGGGTACCTACTGCACATAGTGCTCTATGCCCTAGCTAAGGCAGAGACCACCACACTACGGCAAACAACAGAGACCAAAATAATAACCTTTCATGCATCCCTCTGAGTTGCGTGTTCAGAAGCTCTTACCAGAGTGTGATCAGGTCCAGCTGTTCGCTTGCTGTATGGGATAATGATTGTGCAGGCGTGGTGTTCCTTTCAAGGTCGTCTAATTATACGCTGGGGCTGGGATACCGGCATACCAACATAGGATGTAGGTCCTGGCCAAATGGCTGGGCTAGTACTCTAGGGACAGCTGTGGAAGGGCGAGACGGTGCTAGCGTGGGCGGCACTCCTGGAGATAGCAAGCTCGACGGCGGGTATTTTGTTCATATCTGTGCTGTAATACGGGGTATAGGACGTGTGCGTGGGTATGTGTACATGTGCGTGTGTGCATGTGTGTGTGTAAGCTCACGTGTACATGTTTTTAAGTGTGTTGTGTGTATGTTCACGTGTCCAATGTCTTGTTTTTAAGTGTGTTGTTTGTATAATGTGTGTGTGTGCTCACGCGTGTGTGCATACGGGCTAGAGCACGGGCCTTGGAAAGCAGACGTCTAGCACGCAGAGACACTGGAGAGAGAGAGAGAGAGAGAGAGAGAGAGAGAGAGAGAGAGAGAGAGAGAGAGAGAGAGAGAGAGAGAGAGAGAAGCCCCTATAGTTTCTATTCCTCTCACTTCACTTGCACAGGTCACCACATTGTCCACTGTGAAGCGGAGACGGGCCATCTGAGCTGTGGCAAGTTCTCAAGTGGCTCTGGCTTAAGCAGCAGCACCAAAACATTCTCCAGCCTGCCGGTAAGGGCGCGTTCAGACTGGCGTGAATAGCCGCCGGAAAGCTGCAGCGTGATCCCGGGAATCGCAATCACACTGCACGTGTATCCCGCTGGAATGGCCAGTACATGTGAAGCTTCGACATTTGAAAAATTTGAGTTGACTCAGTTTGAGTTGGATATCAAAATAAACTAATTCAGTCTGTTGAGATACTGGATCATTGTGCTTTTGCTTGTGCTTGTCGACGGAAAGAATACTATGTCCGGAGTGTTTGGTGCTTGGGTGGCATTCATCCGCTCCGCGATCAGAGTATGCTTCTCGTTCGCAGTTACGTTTTGCCTGCAGAGCGGCCCGCAAAAATCACCACGTACAGCTCCATGAACTCCCTCTCCATTGCTGAGTCGAACAAAGATTTCGGCATGATGGGAGAAGTTGGCAGTCTAGAAGTCAAAACTCAAAAGCATGCAGCCAGACTGCAAGAGTAGAGGCTGAAATAAAACGAAAAGACGGAACATGTGCTGCAAGGATATCAAAAGCGCTCCGCGTTCCGCCGGAATCTGCATTCCACTGGCCTGCAGAGTGGTGGGAAACCTTTTCCGTGTTTACGCTGGCGGGAACGTCACGTGAGCGATTCACCTTGACAACTTTCACATTCCGCTTGTTTTTTTACGCCAGTCTGAACGCGCCCTAAGAAGAGACTGCGTTCCAGTGGGGTGCACTGCGAGGGGATTTCCCTGTTCCCATGTACGGTTGTGCTTCTGCATTTTGTTTTCCAGTGGGGTGGTGCACTGCGAGGGAATTTCCCTGTTCCCATGTACGGTTGTGCTTCTGCATTTTGTTTTCCAGTGGGGTGGTGCACTGCGAGGGGATTTCCCTGTTCCTATGTACGGTTGTGCTTCTGCATTTTGTTTTCCAGTGGGGTGGTGCACTGCGAGGGGATTCCCCTGTTCCCATGTACGGTTGTGCTTCTGC